GGGTTTAGGTTGTGTTATGCCCTGACCCACCCACTGAAAACAGCTCCATCGATGCCATTTCCAGCATTGATAACAAGGCCTAATCAGAGAGGTCCCAGCAGGAAAATCATGTAACCTGGATTAATCTGCTTACTATTGCTATGCCAGAATATCTGAGATTGAGTGTTTTCTAAAGAAAAGAGGTTTCTTTTGGCTCACAGTTCTGAAAGCGGGGAAGTTCGAGAGCTGGCATATACCAAAGGCCTCATGCTGCATCATAACATGGAAGAAGAGAGCAGAAGGACCAAGTGGGCACCTGTAGGAGAGACCAAATATTAATGATAATCTTGCTTTTTTTTAACTTGTATTTAGCAAATATAAATTTCCAAAGTACAGCTTGTAGATTACAGTGGCTTTTCCCCCCCATAACTTCCCTCCTGCCCGCAACCCTCCCAACTCCCGCTCCCTCTCCCATTCCATTCACATCAAGATTCATTTTCAATTATCTTTATATATAGAAGATCAATTTAGCATATATTAAGTAAAGATTTCAACAGTTGATAACCTTGCTTTGTAACAACCTTTTCCGGCAGTAATTAGCCCAGTCCCATACGACAGAGAACTCTCTCCCTCCTGCCCTCCCTCCAGACAGCACTTATTTTTAACAAGGGCGCTGTCTTTCATAACCCAAGCACTTCCCTCGGGCTCCAACTTCCAGCACTGCCACACTGAGGAATTAAGCCTCCACATGAGGACGAACCACATTCAAACCATCACACACCCCAAACAGGCAAATGGGGGAAGATTAACAAGAGAGCCAGCTACATAAGACAGGACAGGGCTAAGAAAAATCAGTAAGATGGGGGGCTTCCTGTTTCTAAAGGGTCCAGGGGAGGAAGCAGGAGGCAGGTCCAGACGGCATAGCCCTGGGAAGGAACTCTCAGGTACAGTAGAGGGAACTGGGCAGTTTATAGAGACTGGGCAAGGGCGGAGCCCAGAAAATAAAAGCCCCCACTAACCTCACTGACCTCCAGTATGGCCTAGGAGTGACTAATCCTTCAGTTTGGGTCCCAGATGGGAAGACAGATGTGCATGGAATACATCTGCAGTGTCCCCATACCTGTGATGAGTCACAGAACCACAGATGTGCCTTGGACCCTCAACCGACTTACCACATTAGACAGAAATGGGTATTTGTTGCAAGAATCCAAGGTTGTTGGCTATGCCACATTGCTCACTGAACGCTCCTTAAGTCTTATCAGAAGCTTGAAAGCAAGGTTGCTGAGTGGGACCGCCGATAGTCAGTCTCTGTGGTCACACAGCAGAGTTGAGGGGGTGGCGAGTGGCTGAGGAGGAAGACACAGAGGCAAGCAGCCCAAGACCAGGGGTCCCTGTCTCTAAGTATCAGCTCTGGGCAGATATTGCTGTCTGAAGGCCTTAGATCTAGCCTGAGGCAGAGCCAGCAGTGTGGTCTCAGGGTCACAGGGTGTTTTCCTAGAAGACTACGCCCCTGCCTAGAGGAAATTCTTGCGTGCCTCATTCTTCTTTGAATCCTCTGTAATCAACCCTTGTTTGTGGAGATATAACATGCAAGTGCTGAGTATGCACAGAACCCCTAATTTCCACCACACAAATTTCAGAGGATGTATCACACAAGACTGAATAATCTTAAAAATTAATCGAGGGGCCGGTGCAGTGGCACACTAGATTAATCCTCTGCCTGAGGCACCAGCATCCCATATGGGTGCTGGTTTCTAGTCCCGGTTGCTCCTCTTCCAGTCCAGCTCTCTGCTGTGGCCCGGGAGTGCAGTGGAGGCTGGCCCAAGTGCTTGGGCCCTGCACCCGCATGGGAGACCGGGAGGAAGCTCCTGGTTCCTGGCTTCGGATCGGTGCAGCTCTGGCCATTGTGGCCATTTGGGGAATGAACCAACGGAAGGAAGACCTTTCTGTCTCTCTCTCTCTCACTGTCTGTAACTCTACCTGTCAAATAAATAAATAAAAATCTTTTAAAAATTAATTGAAAATGCTTTTCCCTTTTGTAAAATGTTTGTTGAGTGGGGTATGACCTACACAATGTGTTTGCTCCAATAATTCCTATAAATGCTCCATCTTGAGTTTGCAGCCTCAGCTTTTATTCTCTACCAATTCCACAGAAAACAAGATTATCTAAAGGTTGTTCTTTTATTGCAGTAAACAATAGGATCATGGTCTTTTAGGAAAGAAAGATCTATACTTCAGTCTTTAAAGGCTGTATCAGGTATCACTAATTCTCTCCTTCAATTTGCCTTAAAGCTGTAGTAGGGTAATCTGGCCCTTAAAAAGATACTGAAAGAGGAAGTTGTAGAAGAGGCAAAATGAAGAGACTCACAGGTATGTGCACTCAAATAGGCATTTTAATAAGTATGTGTAGCTCTGCTTTTCTGTAATTGCTATGGTTGGGCTTTTCCAGTCAACATACAATAGTGGTCTGTTTCATCTAAGTGGCTTCCCTGAGAAACCTGAACTTTAACCAACACAAATTTGTACTTGTATTCTCTGTACAAACACTTATATCAATCAGTATTTTCTGAGTGCTTACATGAGTCAATGATTTTCTGAAATATTTTCTAGTAACACGAATTGCTTTCCTGTTCACTAAGCCATGTAAACACAGAGAGCACCTTCTGCCTTCTATCTCCTTTAATCCCACAATAACTCTACAACTTGTGAACATCCCACACTTTACAACATGTAGCTTACCACATGTATTATTTTCACAGCTATGGCTTTGTTTTTTGCAATGCATACAACCAGTCAATCCATCTCATACTTCAGAATATCTTTATTTCTGAGACATAAAAGCATATTTTTCATTTTTAACTTCTCTTTTATGTACCCATCTTGGCTTAACAGTAAGAAACCCAAGAAGTTAATTATCGGCCTGATTGCTTAATGCAGCACTTGCCAAATACTTTTCACCTAGCAGCACATTTAGAAAATGGAAACCTTTGAATAGCCAGGGAAAAGCAGAAGTAGCATCTCCAATCCAGATTGGCTTGGAGTTCTGGCTCCTGTCCACTTATCTATCTTCCATTTCATCACCAGATGGAAAGCCCCGGATGCTGTGACCGCTGGAAAAAGACCAGGATGGTGAATGAGACAGGAAGCGCTTGATAGTGATAGGCAGACTTAAACAACCAGGATGTACACTCTAGAGCAATAGGTGCTGGTGTTTGAGAGCACGGATTCTGTCACCAGTTCTGAGTTTCTATCTGGCCTCTGTCTTGTCATCACCCTGCAATTTAATTCAATCGTCCAAAAATATTTTTATAAGTACCTATTATATGCCAAGCACTGCTGAAAGTACTTAGATTACATAAAAGAACAACAAAGACTAAGTTGCCATCCTGCAGTGTGGGCGTGTAGCACAGCAGTTAAGCTGCTGCTTGAGACCCCAGCATCCCACATCAGAGTGCCTAACTGAAGCTCCAGCTACTGCACTTCCAGTCTGGCTTCCTGCTAATGTGCACTCTGGGAGGCAGCAGATGATAATCCGAAGAACTTGGATCCCTGCCACCAACCTGGGAGACCTGGATTGAGTTCCAGGCTCCTGGCTTCAAGCCTGGCCCAGCTTGGCTGTTGTGGGCATTTGGGGAGTGAATCAGTAGATGGAAGACCTCTCTCTCTGTCTCTCTGTCTCTCTCTCTTTCTCTTTCTCTTTTTCTTTCTCTTTCTCTTTCTCTCTGCCTTTCAAATGGAATGAAAATAAATAAACTTGTTTTAAAATTGCCAGCCCTCATGGAGCTTATATTCTAAGGAGAGAAGGGTGGGAGATAGGAAAAAAGGTAATCATAATAAGTGAATTAGTAATATATAATATATCAGGACATGATAAATACTGTGGAAGTGGGAAAGATTCGAGAAAGTAAGGGAAGCTGAGAATACAGAGAGATGAAAGGGTGAAAGATAACATAGGATGTGACCAAGAGCCTCTTTGACAAGATGTCATTTAAGCAAACTTTCTGGAGGAGATGAGGAGCTACCCATGTAGGTATCTAGGATAAAGAATGTT